AGACTGCCAGAACAAGTGCAACTGTACTCTGTATAATGGGAAGCACTGTATTGAGCAGTTCACAGTTCGACCAAAGAGATGTCCAAATTTGAAAAGGATCTGCTTCTCCTGGGCATCATCTCATCCTCCCTCAATGATGCTGACATGACGCTGGGCAAAAAATCCAAGCCAAAGGTACGGAAGCTCACAAGGATGAGGAACTTCAGCTACGGCAACAAGAGGATCTGCCGCTACACTTTTTGTTGTTGCTGGAGATAGGCCCGCAGAAATTCACCAACCTCAAGAACTGGTACAAAACCCAAGCTCAGAGGCACATATGCTCTTGAGACTGGAGAGGAAGGGATGACGCAGCACCAAAAATGTACTAATTAATATATCAGTACAAGAGCTATCAGGAAAACAGTGGCAACTGGACTAAAATGGACTACTTAATATAACAAAATTGCACAGGTACCACATCACAAGACCAGCTCAACATATGGTGGCAAAAACCTGGTTCTCAACAAAGAGGAGTGGAGGTACTTTGAGGCCCACACTCTCGAGATCAGAGCAAATATGCTGTAGCTGTTGAGACTGGAAAGGAACAAATTGAAATGTTCAGGAACTTGTTGCTATTTCTGGCGATAATAAATGGAGCCCCAAGAAGCGATGTCCTGTCAAAGGTTTTTACTAAAAATTTCCGTAACAGAAGTAGATATGTTGTACACAGGGGTTGTTTAGAGTCATAAGTGTTTTATTTTGGGGATAATCATGAACTAGTTGATGAATAGCGTTACCGTCTCTTCCAAACGTTTAATCTGAAACTTTTGTTTCTTTTCTTTCCCGATTTCTTCTCTATCTTTTTTTTTTCCTTTCGTTTTCTTTACATTTTCTTTACATTTCTTTTCCTTTCTTTTCACTTTTTTCCTTCTCGTTTCTTTTTGTTTCATTTCTTTTCTTTCTATTCTTTTTCATTTATTTCATTTACATTCTTTTCTTTTCCTTCTGCTTTCCTTTCTTAATCTTTATTAAAACCCCACAGAGAATGAAATCTCTCAACAACAGAAGCCGAATGGATATCTAGAGGGTCCAGGAAAAAACACAAAGAACGCGACAAGCTGGAAAGGAGAAGCTTTGAGAGTGAAAGGGCTCCCAAATTAAAGGAAACCTAAACCCAAAGAATAAGTGTAGGAATTCTGAAAAATGAGATGTATTCCTGCCCTTTGATGTACAATATTCCTTACGAAAATGTTCAAGATATATCTACATGAAGATATTCTTCGCATGAAGTGATGCCTTTCAGCATAACATGGGCGCAGCCATTTTCTTGAAAATGTGACGTACCTGTTGAAGTTGTACATGTATCATGCATCAAGCTTTTGTTGGAAAGAATTTTTATTTCAATAACGAAGCCTTTACTTTTCGATGAACAAAAATAATAACTGAGATAATAGAAATTATATTAGGTGAAAAATAAATAACAGGGGCACAATTGTAACAAAATTAATTTATAAATACTACACTATAGCAGTTGACAAATCCATTTCATTTATGAGAAATCTTTCCCTCGGAAGAGCACTAAATTATTTATGCAATTTGCGTTCTGGCAATTGTAGTACAAAGGATAATAGCAGGTGAATGAAATGCTTCATCACTACACACGTCTGGGAAAGAAGCATCCATAAATTTGAATACATTTATTTATAAAAGACTTCGTATAGTGCGTCACATTATCAAGAAAATGGCGATGCCCATGTCGTGCTGAGAAACTGTACTTTATTTTTGCTTTATACCTCTATCATACACTTTGGTGGGGAATCTTGTAGATTTATGGGCAATAATTTAATAAATCTCTCAGAATAAGTAGAGTTATTACTTGGGGTTCGGTTTCCTTTAATTCCCATAATGACCGAGAGATGAAGTTCAACATAAAGAGGGCGTTTAAGAAGCTATCATAAACCTGTCTAGGAGTTACATTTGTTCCGCGGCTCTGTAAAAAAAAAAAAAAAAAAAAAAAAATATCAATTTATGGCATTGAGAAGGTACGTTAAAAAAATAACAAACAAACATTCGTATTAGGGAAGACTGAGTAAAAATTGAATTTCTGGATATCATCATATATTTTGTTTCGATTTAAAGTTCAAGTTTAAATGTGAATGTAGGCAATGATATTATTATGTACAGTGCAGAACTGGGAATCAACCTGGGAAACTCGAAACTCGATGGTATTAAGAGCAGTACTAAATAGTTCTTCGTAATAATACATTTTCGATGATACTTCAATAAATGTTCTCATTTTGAACCCGATCTGAAGATCTGAGCGCCGTCTTCCCCCCCCCCCCCCTTTTTTTTATTTATTTTTTTTTATTGTATCACGAATTATCATTTTTCAGTGGATGTGGATGGAAGGCGCAAGGGGGAACATTCATTTAGTTTGAGTAATTAGTTACCGCATGTACGTCTTTCGGCTGAAATGTTATTGTCTGTAATGTGCTTCGTTGCAGATAAGGAGGGGGGGGGGGGTGGCTCACAATTTTACCACAAGTTTTGCCCATGTTTTTTCTTGTGCATTTATCGATTCAAGTCTTATACTTTAGTCGTTTTTTATCAAAATATTTGTTTGGATAAAATATTTTTATTGGAATGTAAATGTAAATCTCAAATAAAAATTAGTCAAATCTTGATCATCTTGTAATCGTGCCTTTGGTGATATGGTGATTGATGAGATAGACGAAGTAGAGCAGATAAACCAGGACAAAGAGATATGGAGAAGTAAAAAAAAAATTGCAAAATTAAGAACAGAGAGAGAGAGGGAGAGAGAGAGAGGGAGAGAGAGGGAAAGAGAGAGAGAGAGAGAGATAGAAAGAGAGAGAGAGAGAGAGATAGAAAGAGAGAGAGAGAGGGGGAGAGAGAAAGAGAGGGTTATTTAATATACATAAAACGTGGCTTTTTTTGTTGTTAGGGCGCCACGCACTTATGAGCAGTTTTTATAGAATTTTTTTTTCTTTCTTCGATTTCTTCAATTGAAAGGACAAGAATGGAGGTAATCGAGCGCAAATAATTAGGAGCGACCCTAGTGAGAGATAGGGATAGAAAGAGTGTTACAGAGAGAGGGGAAAGAGAGAGAAAAGGAGAGAGAGAGAGAAAAAGTGAGAGACATGAATGGGGGAGGAGATCGGTCTATACATTGACAGAGAGACTCTTTATGAAACACTCCCCTGGGCTTGGAAGAAAAAGCAGAGAGACTATAGACTATAGAGGCTCTGTCAAACTGAGAAAAAAAATCAGCACATATCATAAAGATCACATAATATACGGCCATGTACGGGCATGTCCCATGTACGTCCCACACGCTACCAATAAATGTTATTGTAGAAATAAATTAGGATTAAAAATATATAATTTCATTGGATGTGGAGTCTGATTCAAGCTCAAGTTTAGGGCCATCAGCTTGATACCTTTTCTCAGGTATTGGCTCACTGAAATCTTAGGTGTCGTCGGTAACGAACATCGGGGATAAAACAGCTTGGACTTGCCCTAGATTTGAAATGCAGAATAAAAATTTATTCGATTTCCTGTCCCTTTGATACATCAGTCGCCCCTTCCCAAATCATCCAAATTTGATTGATTTTCATATAATGCTGAACCAGGCACGTACGCAGGATTTTTTCAAGGGGGGTGTTTTAACATTTTAAAATCGGGCCGAAAATTTCGCATCGACTCAGCCAGCCGCTGAATAAGCGGGGGGGGGGGGGGGGGGGGGGGGTTAGAGGACACTTTTTTTCTTTTTTTTGGTCTCGGAATTTGAAAATTTGACATTTTGCTCCGTTGGGGGGGGGGGGTAAGGTCACCTTCTTTAGGTCAGCCATGGGAATATTTTTTTTTTTTTTTAATTATTATTATTAAAAAAAATAAAAAATAAAAAAAATAAAAAACCCAAAGGGGGAGGGTTTTTTTTTTTTTTTTTTTTTTTTTTTTGGGGGGGGGGGGGGGGGAGGGGGGGTTTATACACATAAAAATACCAAGGGGGGGGGGCTTACGCGCCTGTGCTGAACTCAACAACAGCAACATCAACCAAAATCGTCTGAGAATATCTGCAGCCTCGCGTCATTCTGTTTGGCTGAAAATTCTTGACGTCATCATCACGCGCAATGCCTAAAATACGTGCTAACCCATTTCTAGTAATATAGGGACAATTCACGTCAAGTGTACTCATTCTGAATATTACAGTGTACAGTGCGTGCCAGAAAAAACGAAACCGAGAATTATCGATGTTTTATCATAACTTAATCACATTTATAATTAATAAATGACACATATTTAGAAAGCTTAGATCCTCTTCTTTCTTTTGATGCAACTCATATGATGCATATTTCACGCATATCTGAATTTCAAAAAGAAAATCATATTTCTAGAAAGTTGTGTTTCTGCCCTTTCATATGACACCTCAATCAGGAAAAATGAGCAAGGAATGACAAAGTTCTGTTTTTTAAAAGTAGCCCTTACATTTTCATAATTTTAGCAAGCAAATTCGTTTTCACTGCCTGCCTGCCGTAGCAAAAAGCAGAATTGACAAAAGACTTAACTCTGTTTCGTTGACAATCAGCCATGCATGAAGTCTTTCGTCTACGGCTGATTGTCAACGAAACGGAGTTAAGTCTTTTGTTAATTTCGTTTGTTGATACGGCAGGCAGCCAGTGAAAACGAATTCAAATTATATAAATTTAATCAAATAATGGAAATGCAAGCACTACTTTAAACAAACAGAACTTTGGTATTCCTAGCTCATTTTTCCTGATTGAGGTGTCATATGAAAGGGCAGAAACTCATGGCTTTTTGTTTTCCTCTCTTCAAATTGATTTTAATCACTCATGCGTGATATGCATTATGCAATATGCATTATATGAGTTGCATCAAATGAAAGAGGAGGATCTAAGCTTTACAAATACGTGTCATTTATCAATTATAATTGTGATTAAGTTATGATAAAACATCGATAATTCTCGGTTTCGTTTTTTTCTGGGACGCACTGTATAATTACGTTCAACATAGAGTTGCTATATACCAAGGAGTATTTTTATCAAATGCGAAACTATAAAGTCTGATTCAAAAGCAATGGCAATAAAATGGGTCTCGTCTTCTCTTTCAATGTTTACATTCCAATGCGTACTCTGAAATTTGCTCATTGGAAAAAATACGTGTACCGTAAAGCACACTCTGGGAGGTGTTTCACAAAGATCCTAAGTCGAACTTATCTCTTAGTTGGACTTAAAAGTTATGGAAAGCCATTAGCATCCTTGAAAATATTTTGTAAAAGTCATTTTAAAAGGCATAAAATGGTGATTCAAATCATTCGTATTTTCTATTATCATGGGAGATTTCATGTTCTTGATGTGGCTGTCAGAACTTGATAGTTAACGCAGAGGAGTGGGCATACTTCAGGACGTACCTAGAACAGATCCGAGAAGATGGAGAAGGTGACACAGCGCCATACTTCCTCCAAGCTGGAAAGAGGACCGACAAGCCCAGCGTTGTGCTCCAGAAGACCTGGACCAAGCTGGGCTTGAAAGGGAAAATAAGCACACGAGTCATCAGAAAGACTGTTGCAACTGCGACATATCGAAATGATGCTGACCGACAAACATTCAGCAAGTACTTGCACGTGGCCTCGCCCTGCCACAATTAACCCTGTGTTCGGTCAGAATGAATCGGAGAAATAAATCTTCAATACACAGCTTTTTTACCAAGGCAATCTCAAGGAACAAAAATTTAATTACCTCAAGGTGTAATTAAATATATTCTCGAAACTCCAGTGCAGGGTTTCACCTGTTCTGGACCCTCCAGGTGCATAAAACTACTTTGTTCTTGGTCACGACATCACCAACATCTTCACCATCTTCATCATGTAAGAGTGATAGAGTGCCTGGACAGCTGGAGGACTGCTCAAGTAGACGACGATGTACCTCAGTTTCGGTTAAATGTACGCAGGCACACCCTCCTCCGTAACATCTTAAATTCCTTTAAAGGTAAAGACCAGTATTGGCAACGCCCCAATTTCAAAAAATGAAATGGAAGCTCTCATTACCAATCATGTGAAAGAATATGTTTTGACTAATACATTATGATAAAAAATTTGCCGGGAAACTGCCTACTAATTCATATATTTGGTAAATTTATCTCTCTCATGGTCTGGTGAGAGAGATAGGGTAGTCCCATATACATCTTTCTGTGTATAGTGCTTGTAACTTTACGAAGAATGGGCCAAATTTCTTATCATTTTGATGATTCCAGAACCTTGCAGATGCTAGATGCTAGATGATCAACCTTTTCTGATCGATTCCACAACGTTTCTTTCACAATGCAATCGCATGACCATTACTGGTCTTTACCTTTAAGAAGAAGGAAGTGGACCCCAAAGCTCCCCTCATGGCGTACTTCATCGGGGAGCCTGGGGTGGATACAGGTGGACTAACCAGAGTGCCAACGTACATCAAAAGGACAATTTATAAAAGGAAAAGTGATAACTCTTGCTGTTCAGAGGTAATGAAAAGTGTTGAAAAGTAATGAAATTTGCGTTTTCAGCGGGGTCATGATAGATCGCTTGTATTGGTTGTATAGCTAACCAATTCGTCCAAATTTTCTCTTATATTCTGTGTTCTTTTGCTGTGAATGGATTAAGTGCACTGCAGTGATTTTGTAGATTTGGCTTCAGCCATGATCCAGTATCGAGTGAGATTTCTTTTGTATTGTCTTGTTTTGGCAATAAATCAAATAAAGCAACAGTTTGACAGACTTTGCTGCATCTAAAGTGCAGACATCAATCATATTTTGATCCAATCTGATATCAGTACATATGATAATAAGAATCTTGATCAACACACTGATAAATAAAACACAGTTTGTAGGTATGTTTGAATGTAGTTGATATTGTTGTTTACTTGTAAGCCAGATGTTGATTTTATGACAATTCCTCTTTTCATACAATTGTTTATTTTTACAGGCATACCAGCATGCTAGAGTCGATTAATAATCATATCCTGATGTATGCATCAAAGAGATTCACTTTCAAGTGTAATTTTAACCCATCAAAGAAAGTGCACTAAGGATTGGACCTACCAAATATCCCTTTAGAGCTCTACGGGGAGCTGACCCAAGTATCATCCAGGAAACTGCAGCAAATATCCCTTGTCGTTAAAGCCAGATTGAAATGTCTGGGCATCCATTCGATGCTTGCTAGGTGTTCAAAACTAGTTGAGTTTGTTCATCAATCAGCAAAAGCAGAGTACAGGTTAGCTAACCATCAAAGAATCCTCAAGTTTCCAGAACATAAACTAATTCAAGACGTTGAAACGAGATGGGGCTCCACCCATAACATGCTGAAAAGGATTCTGGAGCAACAGCAGCCAATCTCAAATCTTTTAATCAAAACAAAAAGGAGCTCGAGGACCGATTAACGTCAGTGAACTGGGCAAACATGTTGCGTGAAGTCTGTGGGCAGGACCTTATAGCTAATTTCTATCAGCTGGGAGGATTCGACGTGGATGGGCAAGCGACCGTGGTCGAGATTGACGAAAGTAAATATTTCCATAAGAAATATCATAGGGGCGCCTACTGCGAGAGCTTCTGGGTCTTTGGCGCAGTGGAAAGGGCAACAGGAAGGTGTCAGCTAGAAATGGTGCCTAACTGTTCAGGCCCTACACTAGAACCGATAATATCGAGGTGGCTACTACAAGGCACCCAGATCATAAGCGATGGTTGGAGAGCCTACTAGCAGCTGGACCAACTGAACGGCGGGGTCGACCTCCATGACGTCGTGATTCATGAAGAACATTTCGTCGATCCTATCCACGAGTGGCTCCATACCAACACGATCGAAGGCAAGTGGAACCTTGCAAAGAGGGAGCTGGGACGACAGTTCGGAACATCAAGAGCGCTTTTCCCCTCATGTTTGGACGAATTTATGTGGCGCACCAACACAGGACCCAACAAGTTTAGAGAAATGATAAGGTGTCTCAGGCAGTTTTATCCTGTATAGATGTGTTTTAACATCAACCTTTCTTCACACAGAACAAGTGGCGTGGTCTGACACATCACGTCACAAACAAACACTCCTGGGTGTCAGGTATGGGATGAGACGCCAAGTGTGAGCATGGGCCTATCGAGGACAGAGAGGAGTGGCTGACTCCAGGAAGCAGTCCTCACAGAAGAAAGCTCCTCAGCAACCTCAACTACTGCAACAATTTGAGATAAAATTTTATGTAAAAAATGTTTTTTCTGGGTTTAGACGACAGTACGACATTGACGCAGCCAAAAAGATGCCATTTATCAGAAGCATTACGAAAAACCTGTGGTATGGAATACGAAATACACAGGATTTGAAAGCTGTTTGAAATTTGCCCGCTTTGCAATGGTGAGGTCAGCCAGATGAAAGGGAGTTTGGTTGCCATAAAACAACTATGCGTGCACAAGCCGATCTGTGGTTATACCCGTCAGTGGCATAGCCAGCCTTTCATGGCTGACTTCCTGCTGGTAACCTCATGTTGTCAGTGGCAATACTTCTTGCTGGTGCTTCCCCAAGAAATTGTTGAGGGTTTTGTCCCCGGTAGGTATCTCACTTGTCCTTTTGTGTGTTCATAAAGCATGTCAGGAAGAGATGCACCGGGTATGAGAAAGGGATGAAACATGCATTTTCACTAAGAAATCCAAACATCATCGTATTCAAGACTGTGGACCAAACAAAATTGGCAACTCACTTATGAACAAAAAACGTTATGGTGGGGATGGGGAAGGAGGGTCTAGACCCATTGAGGAACGATTGTTTAGTGTTGCAGGAAACATTGTGACCGCAAAACGTTCTTTGTTGAAACCAAAAAAACTTTCCTATGCTGACGTTACTTCATGACAATACACCAAAAGGCAATATTGAGCACATTGCAAAACATGGTCTAAGCATGCGGGCAACTTTAAAAATAATAAAATCAGTATCTAAAATCAATGAATATCTTCTTTGAACAAGAATAATTATAAATTGATAAATTAATAGAACTTTAATAAAATAGGATCTATCAACAAAAAAACAAACATGCATCTTTAATGTAGAAAATATCTTGCATATTTCTTAATAGAAGAATGCAGTGTTCCGGTCCATGGAGTTTATCAACGAGACAGTGAAGAAAAAACAGTTCATGGATAGAGCAAGACATCAGAAATTCCAGGATAAATTCTATTAAACGTGAATATTCATGTCTATGTTTGTTCATGGAGTTTATCCACGAAACAGTGAAGGAGAAACAGTTCATGGATAGAGCAAGACACCAAAAATTCCAGGATAAATTCTATTAAACGTGAAAATTCATGTCTCTGTTTGTTCATGGAGTTTATCCACGAAACAGTGAAGGAGAAACAGTTCATGGATCGAGCATGACATCAGAACTTCCAGGATAAATTCTATAAACGTGAATATTCATGAAAAGGGGTTGGGGGGGGGGGGTGTAGCCCGACAGCAAACTCTTCATATCTATCTCATAACACCTAGAAATTTCTAACTCTAAAATTAAAATTAAATCTAACTTTTCCCAATAGAAAGAAATAAGCTGCTTTATAAATACAGGATCTTACAGAAATACTTTACCTCCCTGAAGTACCAACTGTGCTATCTCCAGGTAGTATTTCTGGAAATGGGGTCGGGGGAATTAGCAGTCACAACGGGAAACTCTACGTACTACTCGTGTCTGTGACTCTTACAATATTATGTTTACATGAAGTTTCCTAGCTGTAAGAACATTTCAAACTTCATGATTAAAGGATCTTACTGACATAATCCACTGTAGTCCCATCTGTGCTATCTCCTGGGTGTCACCGCTGGAGAGCGGGGTGCATTGAGATAGCTCGAGAGAGCAGACTGGAGCGCGCTGGCTCTGTGGTTCTCCTCCTCCTGGTAGCGTGCTATGTCCATGTCTCTGACTCTCAGGTGCTCTTGCAAGGAGTCGACCTCCTCCTGCTTGCTGGCCAACTCAACCCTGTGTCTCCTGGTTTGATCTGAAAAAAAGGAAACCCGATACCTTGCATGTAAGTATCATTTGATACAAGTAGAACTGGGGAGTTTTTCACAAAGACTAAGATGGACTTTAAGTTGGACTTAAATATGGCAGACCGTTCATGCCGCTGTTTGCTCTCACTTTTTACTGGCATTGGTCTCTCAAGGGATGTACAAATCGTGGTCACAAATCTACAGAGTTTATATTTTTTAATAATTTATTATAGAAGGAAAAATCTAAAGATCATAATGTAAGAGCAAACAGTGGCATGAACGGCCTGCCATACCTAAGTCCATCTTAAACTTTGTGAAACACTCCCTGGAATCTAAAAGAAGCAAATGAATCAACAAACTTCTAAGGTAAAACCTGACCGAGAATTTAGTCACTGGTCTAACAAGTGGGAACAGAATTACGGATGCTGAAGATAGCTGAGATACTAGTCAAATGTATTTCTAGGGACACTGATTTTCCGCGATCACGGAAAACGGACGGAATTCACGGACGGAATTCACGGAATTGACCATTTGAAACGGAAAATGCAATTTCGAACGGAAAATCACGGAAAATCGCGGAAAACCCCTTTTACCTCAAAACTTTTCATTTTTCAAGAAGAAAATCGTAAAACTTACACTATTTTTGTGACTCGTTATGCAGTGAAAAAATATTGGGTCTCAAATCATGGTTAATAATTCCGAATATTTAGCGATATTCGTCAGATTCTTAGGAGACCGGGCGCTGCCATTTTGTTTCGCTGGACCAACAGAGATCGTGACACAAAACACGGTACAAATAGCAGCGAAACGATCCTATTATGACTGCTAGGCGCCAAGTATTACGTAGACGTAATACTAGGCACACACACGCCAGCAGCGGTCGCTACGTGCGGCGAGATTGTACACACGCTGTTGTACAATTCGAAAAAGGGGCTGGCATGTGCGCCTAAAATCGATCGATTGCGGACATGACAGCCAAGACTGAAATGTTTTCGTCGACGTCGGTACTCATCCCTTCCGTCAGGAATATGTCGTGTTCTGACATATTCCGCTGACTTTAGTCTGCTTGTCTAAGTTCGAATTTAAAGTTGGTAAATCTAAACGTTTGATAATTTTTTGTAGGTCTAGCCTAGACTCTACGGCCCGTAGGGGTCTATATTTTCACTAGTATTTTGCATCAAGTTTATCCAGTCCTGTCCGTATGTTTTTGAGTGGTTATCAGTGGCTTGTCAAAGGTGGCGGCTTTAATAGAACATTTGTACCCTACAAGTTCATGTTTTAATGAAAATCTTATGTAAACGGAATTTTAGTTTTTTCATGTGTACAAAGTCTATGGCAAAACGGAATTTCCGTTTTTCAGCCCATCTGAAACGGAATTCCAGATTTTCTGAAACGGAAAAGGCAATTTTTTGAAACGGAAAATCAGTGTCCCTATATTTCTTACCCAAGAGTTTTGCTTCCAAATCTGCGGCTTGCTCCTTGAACTCTTGTAAGTGGGCTAGCTTCGTCTCCATTCTCTGAGACTCCTTCTGATGCTGGAGCTCTGCGTGATGCACGGCTGACATCTTCTCGTTGTTCTTCCCTGCTAGCTCCTGGTCAAATGAAAAATAAGCTCCACATTAGCAAATGACAGACAGTGAAACCTGTCTATGAAGACCACCCAAGGAAGACAAGAAAAGTGGTCTTTATGTACAGGTCCCTTTAAAACATGTTTCAATGAGAAACCATTTTCAAGGGAAACAAAAATTGTGGTCTTTGTAAACAGGTGGTTAATAAAGCAGGTTTGACTGTTATGGAATATTTGTGATATTGTTCTCTTGGAAAAAAAAAGTAGGAAAAAATGTGCCTGTCTATAAATGATTACTGTAAGACCATACATGTAGTTTTATCATTAATCTTTTGGGGTCAACAAGATCAAAGTAAAAAAGAAAGTTACGAGCGAAGAAGGAAAGTGTGAATAACTAAAAGATAAATAGTACAGGGGTAACAATTTTGAGTGAAATGCCTATAAGAGCTTGAATTAAACCATAACCTGACAATCTGACACAAATTGGCACACACAACAGACTCTTGCATGTGTTCTACATGCATTTTTAAGCTAGGTCAGGTTTACTATTGATGTGTATCACAGCAACCATTTGGCACAAACACACAAAAAGGCAATCACTCATATAGACCATCTGAAAAAACTCATGAGACAAAAGACAAACAAGACACATTTATTTATTCACCCGCATAACTTTCTGAAGATGTCTCTTGAGAGACTCTTCTTGCAATGTAAGGTTGTTGTTATGAGCCTCCTTCTCGGCAACCACACAGAACAAACACATTAACAGATAAACACTCAAAGAGACAAACCAACAAAAAAGAAAAACGTTGACACACCTACGTTTCTCTTGAAGATGTCTCTTAAAGTCACATAGAAGTCAGCTCTCATGGGGAATTCGACACCGTTCGGGTGTTTACCCAAATAACAGGTGTTGTCAATCACCAGGGTTAGCCTCGAGTTTTATGACCATTATACCTTATGTAATGCTTTGCTTTTCCTTCGCCCGAATAATCTCCGAGCATGCTCCGAGAGACTAGGGGGTAATTCTTGACGGGCCAACGGGTTTGCTGTGTGCAGATTTGTACTCCCATCAATGGTATTTCCACCAAGTCTGGTGTCAGCGAATTATAGCCTTCTGCACATGGAAACTGACTACCCACTCCCTTTAAGGGACCCTTCTTCCAAGGTCAGGTTGTTGCTATGGGCCTGTACCTCAACTACCACTTGGCAGACAAAGAGACAAACAGACAAACAGACAATCAAACAAAAAAACAAACAGATGCACAGACAGAACAAAACAAGAGGCATGTTCACACACCTGTGTCATCTCCTGAAGATGTCTCTTGAGGGACTCTACTTCCAGTGTCAGGTTGCTGTTTCGAGCCTGTACCTCAGCGACTATCTGGCTTTGGTTGCTCGCATGCTGCTGGATATCATCTTTTGCATTCTGGAGAACTCTGATCTTGTCTTCCAAAAGCTTGCTTCTTTGATGCTGTTACAAAACAAATAAGCAAACATAAACATACCATACACGTATCTATATTTGAAGTTAGAAATGCAGTGATGTTTACTTTTTAAAGGTTCATTAGAGAAATTGATTCAAATCTTGAAGAACCTTGCAACTGTCACATCCCCCTCCCTTCCCCTAATACCTAGTTAACTATGGATTGTTAAAGGGTTATTTTTTTACTGACTGACATAACCAAATCACTTGTTTGGTGATATACTTAGGCCTAAAAAAAAAATTGATGACTTGGCGTAACGGGTCACTGAAAATTAGGGTAGGTAGGGCGATTTTTTTGTGTTTTTTTTTTTTGTTTTTTGTTTGTCGTTGTTGTTGCTTATATTTGCATACATGAAATTAGCCATTCATACACATACATACATACAGTGGCGTAGATAGGTCCTCAGACCTTGGGGATGATCTGATGAGAGGGGTAGACCACAATATGTTCAAATAACTCCACGCACACACACACACACATATATGGACACATAGCGGTACTATGGCGTACCTGCCCGCTGCACTTGGCGCGCGAGCTGGCCCAAACACGGCGCGGCAAAGCCCAGAACGAAAGCAACAAACATCCGGGTTTTCCCCCACTGCGATATCGATATTTACGCAATCGCAATCGGATCAAAAAAAATAAAAAAGCGTAGGGTCGGCGATAAAAATAGGGTCGGGCGGGTTACGCCAAGTCATCAATTTATTTTTTTAGGCCTTACTATCATACTTTTTGTTACTTCTTGCAAAAGAAAAGCTGAAAAGCAATACTCAATAACTCCTGCATATCGTCTGCCAAGAGAGCCAGAAAGACATCAACTCATATCTCTCCACATGGAGTTACCATTACCACCTCTCTGGCTCTCAACTGGTGACATTTCGAGTCCCCACTAGCAAACACATCCTTCTGCATTTTGTACAGCCACATATTGTAGGATAGTATTCTGATTTGTTAAATGCAAACACCAAGAAGACCAAAAACCTAGGATTCACACATAGACATGGTATCAACTAGAAAGGAAAAATTTGCTGTTTCCATTTGGGAGCACTCGTAAACTTGCATTGCATCACAGGTGAAAAAATATTTGTCAAAGAACTTTTACCTCTTCATCCCTGACTTGTTTCTTGGTGGCAAGGATCTGTTCCTCCAGGGAGAGTCTATCGGTGAGCTGCTGGGCCTTGACCCTGCTGAGCTCCTCCTCGATGCCCCTCCTGTGGTCCTCCAGGCGATCGATGCGGTCCTTGTACGCCCGCTCGCTCTCCTCGAACCCTTGACGGTGGTGCTGGACCTCGGAGCGATGTCGCCGGTCGATGCCGCCGACGTCGTCCCTGTGCTTGATGCGCTCTACCTGCAGCAGCTCTGGGAGAGGGTTACAAACATACAATCATTGAATAAGGCAAACAAATAAAACAAAGCAGCAAAAGATCATTTGATATTACCTTGACACGTAAATCAAGATTAATCTTACAGTCCCATTTTGTCCCTTTTCCCACTATTCTCACTTTTCCAACAACTTCAGCAGACTTAGTATATTGTTTAAATTTCTGGATATTATTAATTCTTGTCCTGCTTCACATTATTCTGTATTCCAGAATTATCTCATTCTCTCTCTCTCTCTCTCTCTTCAATGCATTTTTATGTCTTTTCTCTTGGTCTCTGTCTCTCTCCCTCTTTCTATGACACTCTGGGTTTCCTACCATGTGGCTTTCATCTACATTACCTGCCTATTTAAGTTGTCACAAGTTCTTCCTAAAGCCTACAATACTGCTTTTGCTGCTGGGCTCTCCTTTCGAGTTTATCACACTCTCTCTCCCCGTCTTTGTTTCTGTTTCTGCCCTACATTCGGTTATGATTAGCTTGCATACTCTCTAAATCGTTTAAGTGTCTCATTGTTCATCTCTCTTCATCTCTCTCTTCCTCTGACCCTCTCCCTCCCTCTGCCTGCCTCCCTCCCTCTCTCTCCCTCTATCTATATTTCCTACCTTCAGTCCTAGTAGCTTGCATCTTCACCTCGGCCTGAGCTGCCATCAGTTCTTCCTTCAGCTCATAGACCTGTTCCTGCTGGAGCTGTACTTTCCTTTCCAGCTCTTCGTTCTTCGCCTCGTACTCTCTGTATCTTTCCTTGACCGATGATAGCTCTGTGATCAGCTTCGTCTCACAAGCCACTTTCTCCTGTTGGATTAAAAAATAATAATACATCAGAAAGAGTGGGTTTACAATGTATGGAATATTTATTATTAAGTCATAAAGCTTGCATCAGTCTCTAACATAACGTCTTCTGCTTCTCCTTTCTATTTGCTTGTGCGTGTGTGCAATTGGGTTTTTGCAGACGTGTATCGATCAGATATGATTATTTACGTCTGTGGACCTTTAACGTCACCATCCAAAAGACGGGAATCAGTTTCGAACACGCGTCCTCGTCTGAATCAGTTTGTAACTTCCATTGTTAGCTGGATTACAGGCGAACACCACAACGCCCAGCGATGTCCCTTTTTTATTCTAGTTTATCGATCTCTTCTCTTCCCTCAAAACACCCTCTATATTTCATCTATTTCATATATTTCAGCCATAGGAGTACATGGCTTTCGTAAGGAAAGTCTGAAGGTCACAAAAATCTGTCTTGACCTTTATCTACCTACCTCTCTCAGTGCCTGCATATCTCTCTGGTGTGAGGTCATAGTAGAGGTCATCTCTTGTCTTGTGTCCTCAAGGACAGTGTCAAGGTCGTGTGATCTGTGGGACACCAAGGACAGCTCGGCTTCTGTTTTGGATAATCTGAGCAAACAGAGAGGAAGAACATAGTAAAGTAAATCTCCACATCTACGGACACTAAGGGGGAACAAAGAGTACAGAAGCTGTGACATCATGAAAATAGAATCTCTCAATTTAAACTCCATTTTCAGAAAGAGCATCAAAAATTATGTCCAAATGTGGAAAACCGGTCGTTAAGTATTATTCGTAAAGTTATGAACCAGCGTTCCTATAGCAAATATATTTATTCAGATGGTCATTATCTCAACCAATACTTAACATATTCAATTGGACATTATTTTTGATGCTCTTTCGGAAAATGAATTTAAAACTGAGAAGTTCTAAAAATAGTTTTTTGATGACGTCACACTTCACCACTCTATAATTGTTGAATCACAAATCCTCCAAACAAACGCAAAGTTAATATCACCTGCATACATCTTTGAGGGAAAAATTGGGATTGATATAGAATTTGGACTTCTGTATCAAGAAGTTGAGTTGTGATCACTTTGAAACAATCAAAACTCTTTAAAAGATGGAGTCTACTTTTAAATGGCTACCACAGTGGATGGGACACACACTCTTTTCTTTATAGTCAGAAAGTTCTGATAATGAAGAAGCTAGGCAGTGAGTTAAGTGTAACTATAATCGCTCCCATCGTCCAGATTGTAGACATAAGTTGATTATTTTAACAAATTTAATCTTGGAGTGTTTCAATCTATCATGTTCCAAGTCAACTGCAAGTCATCAAGTCATGCAAATTTTGATGTAATAAAGATGAGATATAATTTTGTTTTCAAACACTGAAGAACCTATGTAACCGGACTTGCACATCTGACATTGTTCATTTATAATTGATCAGCCTAAAAAGAAATGACAACAATTTGATTTAAGAATTTCATAAGAATAACTATTTCATGAGTCTGAACAACTTGTACCCTGAATACTGCCAAAGTATCTTCAGAAAGATTTAGTGAACTTACTTTGCAGCAACTGCATTGAAGGCCGACTTCCTCTCGGACAACGCCTCTTCCAGAAGGCGGATCTTCTTGCCTGTGTCGCGTTTGCTTCTCCCGTTTTGATCGTTCTGCTGATCAATTCTCCTCAACAGATCCCTGCCCTAGAGAGAACATGAAGAATTTTGATTGCATTAAAGGCTTTGTTTATCTGATAAAAATGTGTAATTTAATGGCTGACTTGCACTAAATCTTGATTCCGAATGGGCTTAACTGCAGAATACCCTGCACATTTGAGCCGCCAATCAGAAGAGTCTAGCTAGCTAGCTAAACCTGCGCATGCGCACATGGTAACCGTTAGGGTTAGTGATAGGGTTATAATAATCATGCAAACCCACCTTTCATCAACCCATCGTTAGCTCAATCGGTAAGGACAGTGTAAAACAACATTGGAGTTGTTGGTTCCAATTTCAGAATTTATTCAGTTCTGTTTTTTCCCTTTATAAATAGTGAGGCAAAGCAATAAATAATCAAGGTATAATTGTTTGTGACCTCTTTACGAGCTGTTAATGACGCAAAACATATCAGCCAAGCTAGCTAGCTAGACTCTTCTGATTGGCGGCTCAAATGTGCGAGGTATTCTGCAGTTGTACTACATGAGCAGGAACAAAAACAAAAATCACTGGCAAATTCATTATATTGCAGCCAAAATCATGAAAATAAAACTATTAAATATCAATATAACCATTGTCTTTGGGTTAAAGAAAACAAAATATATCAAAAATGTTGTACCTGCTGATGTTTCTCATTCTTAAGTTGCTTGATTTCTCTGGTCATGATATCCTGCCTTGTCTGGTGTGTGGCCGAAAGGCTGGCTCGCTCTTTATTCCTCTCCAGTAGCAGTCCTGTTGTTTCAATATGGAAGATACTAAACAGTTAAATGGTAGCGTAGAGTGGCCTATGAAAGCTAAGGCAAGGCGTGGCTCTAACTTTGTTTCTCTCCAGTAACAGTCCTGTTGTTTCAATACCGGTATGTAAGATACTAAACAGTTATGGTAGTGTAGGGTGGCGTTTGCAGCTAAGGCAAGGCGTGGCTATAACTTGCAGAGTACAAACAAATGTACATCTTCACTCCTTGCTTGCCTGTGGGGGAACTGCCTGGGATTATGCATGCTTGCAACCTCAGGGGTTTAATTTGCATATCTCTATTTACATGTACATTTGTATGACAACTGTAAATCATGAATATTCAAATTACAGAGCTTGTAGATGAAAGGAGGTACATGAATATGCATAGTTTCTGTGCATATAAATGAGCTGCTTTGAATATTGAATGAGGGCTTGACCAATCATACTGGAGAGAAGAAATGAACTGGACCATAGGATGGACATGAAAGGAAGAACAAAGCACACTATTAAAAGTTGGGAGAGTGAACATAACATGAAGCAGTTAAAGGGAATGGTGATGGTGAAAGGAATGTTGATGGTGATGGAATGTGATGAAAAGAATAAAATGGACTTTGATGATAGAGGGCTCCAAATAGACAGATGGTAGTAGGAGACCAGCCTGTAGGTCCCGTGACCAATCTCTGGGAACAAAGGTTTGAAAGTGTTTTTGTGTTCCCTGATGAATACTGAACAATTTTGACTATTGGGCTGCCCCCTTGAAAATCCCAGGCATTTTCGTGAGGGGTCAACAAAGGTCACACAGGGATAGACATTCAAATAGTTTCAATCGTGTCAATATGCATATCAAATTACTCGTCTGGTCAAGAGTATTCCAAAAATATATAGTTTGCTATACCTCCGACCTTAAATGAGGGCATTACGGTCAAAAACGTTGAAAAGTCAACACACTTTTGACTGGTGGTCAAATTCACCGACACAGTTAACCTTAATAAATTGCATATCAAATTACTCGTCTGGTCATAAGGATTCCAGAAATGTATACGGTAGTTTGTTATACCTCCGACCTTAAATGAGGGTGCTATGGTAAAAAAGGCCAATGCACTTTAGAAATTCACCAACACAGTTAACATCGTCCTAATGATTCTAATGATTTTAGTGTCTAATATGTTTTCTGACATAACAAATTCAACTAAGCAACTTCTAAAATCAAAAGTGGTTGCCATAACCTTGAAATTTCCCCCAAACCCATGGATAAGAAGTTGTTAGATGTTTGTCAATGAAACGGCAGCTATTTTGAATGTACATGGTACAGGTAAGCACTTTTACTTTTGACAGAAGTATGAAAAACTAGATGGAATTTTGACTGCGTGCAGTCGAAAATGATGCCTCCGCCATAGAGCAATTTAAACAAGTTTGGAGTTTAAATCTCCAGTGGTTCTTGAGATATCATGATAACAATCTCAATGTATGGAATTTCATAAGTTGACCTCTGTGACCCTTGACCTTTGACCTACGTGCTCCAAAATCTAATCAGATTGTCTTCCTATGGTGATACACACTATCATTAAGTTTGAAGTTTAAATCGCCAGTGGTTCTTGAGATATCGCGATAACGATCTCAATGTATGGAATTTCATAAGTTGACCTCTGTGACCCTTGACCTTTGACCTACATGCTCCAAAATCTAATCAGATTGTCTTCCTATGGTGATACACACTATCATTAAGTTTGAAGTTTAAATCTCCAGTGGTTCTTGAGATATTATGATAACAATCTCAATGTATGGAATTTCATAAGTTGACCTCTGTGACCCTTGACCTTTGACCTACGTGCTCCAAAATGTAATCAGATTGTTTTCCTATAGTGATACACACTATCACTAAGTTTGAAGTTTAAATCTCCAGTGGTTCTTGAGATATCATGATAACAATCTCAATGTATGGAATTTCATAAGTTGACCTCTGTGACCTGTGACCTTTGACCTACGTACTCCAAAATCTAATCAGATCGTCTTCCTATGGTGATAAATACTATTCCCGAGTCTTAAGTTTAAATCTTAAATGGTTCTTGAGATATTGTGATAACGGTCAAACGGGACGGACGTACGGACGTACGGACGGACAACCCGAAAACATGATGCCTCCGGCACCACCTTCGGTGGCGGAGGCATAAAAATTAGTACAGAAACATGACTGTGTAGGGCATGTAGGGAAGAGGATGTATCATGCTTTAAATGAATTTCGCAAAGATAATAGGGGTAAATTGTCAGATGGGAAGAATGTGGGAGGGGGGAAGGGTCGGTTAACTGGGACAAGCAATACAGGGTCAATAGGGCGTTTGTCTAAATTTTATCGTAGGTAGCATATAGGGATGATAGGGAAAGACAAGGGGCAGTAGAACGTATGCAGAGGGCAGTATTGGCAGTCCTTTATCATGAGGTCAAACTTGCTGATAATGAAGTGCGTCATCAGTACTGCCCAGATGACGGCTGGTGTGAGAATAGAAATACAGGCAGCATGGTAGACAAAGACCATCACCTTGATGTGGTGTTTCTCGATCTGCTCTTGCCTACATTCAAGCGACTTAGTGCTCCAGATCTTCTCTCAAGATGCCTCCCAGGCTACACCCAGAACCAGAACGAGAGCTTCAATGCTCTCATCTGGAAACGGTGCCCTAAACACCTGTGGAGAGGTCCACGCGTTGTCCGCATCGCAGTCAACATGGCTGTGCTTGCATTCAACTGTGGCGCAGAGCAAGGTCGCAACAGAATTTTTAATGCATTAAATGTTACAATGTACATGTACGCTCACACCTTGTCATTGCTGCAAAGAAAGGATAGCAATAGATTACGGGCGGCAGAAATTAGGGCGACAGAGGTTGAAAAGAGAAAGGGGGAGGCAAATAGGGTTCATAATTCAAAGAAAGAGGAGGGGGTATGCAGAAAGGGAGGGGTAGTTTATGAGGCTGGGGCTTTTTGAGGGAATTATCTTTTGTAATTAATTAATTAGTTGTGATGTTTTGCTTTCAATTAATTTATTTCTTACTTATTTTGTATATATTGTTCTGTCCACTGGATTTTCCAATTTCCAATTTCTATTATATTATTGTGTATATATTTGATTATTCACTTTTAATTAAGATTAATTAGTTTTGTATATGTAAATATGTATATATTAGATTTAAACTTGTAGATGAATGTAGTACTGTAGACTAGTGTAGTAGATTTAGGGCCGGAAGAAAGCTAAACACTGCCATTTCCACCACCGCCTTCGGCTCTCTTGACTATTGTTCAGTATTCAGAGCTGTCCTGCTTTAAACAGCAAGGCTGATGCCGGACAGCTCTAACAAAAGTAGATTAGAAACTTAATTAATCTATAATTTATGGGTTTTAAGTCTCGTTTGTACATATTTTTGGACTCCTATATTGATTTTGATTTCATAAATTATAAAAAATTTGTATATAAATGGACAAAATTTGCCTTTCTTTTCCTTCACTTTGGGTTATACTGGATGTTAGTGTGTATAATTGAATGCGTGAAATGTGCCTTTTGTATTTCTTTGTTTTTATTAATTCATGATTTTCAGGAAAATGCCTTTATTTTCTAAAGGATAATGTGTGAACAATTAGTCTGATTGAGGTGATCATTTTTGTGCTGATTGATGAATGTTTTATCTCTTGAACAAGTGGTGGAAATGTGATAACTATGATTAGTTTCTCAGTAATTGATGCATGAATATGTAATTAGGTAAACTTGCATGCCCTTGGCAATCGCTACGGGCTTTATTTCGGCAAAGATATAGGGTTGGGGTTAGGGTTGCAATTGGGATTTAGGCTAGGTTTAGAGATCGGGTTATGGTTAGGTATATTGATAGGGCCAGGGAATGTTTGAAGGTCCTTGAAACAAAACATCTTTTTTTAAACTCCAGGCTAGAAGTTAAGAATCCGGATAGTGTAGGAAATTGACACAGAGCAATAGTCGTAGGAGCAGTTGTCGTATAACCCTGACCCCAGGCCAGTTTGTGTCATTTAAATTTAAGTGGCAGGTCAGGCGTATAAATTCACATTAATTTCTGAAATGAGGGCGACTTACCAATAGCCTTCAGAATGTCCTGTGGTATATCGTTGCCTGCTAGATCCATCTCAGTTACGGTCTGGTTATGCTGTAGGCCCGCCAATAGAGATCTCCCACCAACGATACCAACATTATTCCATCTAAGATCTGTTTGATAGATAATCAAAAAGAAATTAATTATATGGCTTTCATTTCCACGACCATGTTTCAATGTGAGAGTTAGTTTGATTTCTGTGCACGATAAAACATGTTGCCTGTTGAGAGCTAGAAATGATGTTAACTCTACAACAAATGATATGCTGCAGCAATAATGTGGAATAATTAAAATCAGACAGAGAACCCCCCCAAAAAAAAAAAAAAAAAAAAAAAATTAAAAAAATAAAATTAAAAAAATAACAATAATAAATAAATAAATAAAAATTTAAAGATTGAGATAAACATGTCGAACAGGGACCAATTTTATATTCACAAGTGAGCTGTTTATGGTAATAACTGTGCAAAGCTGACTGGGTTGGTTGTGAGTGATCTCACGGTTCCAAGTCCAATTGTTCCTAAAGATCAACAACTTCAAGACTACATCAAATCTCATTTATCATATTATTTACAGTGATCAAACATACCGGGTTCCCCACATTTTATAAAAACAAAATCCCTGATTTTTCCCTGTACCGATGGATTTCTAAAAATTCCAGGACCATTAAAGGAGGCATTTTACAAATTCCTTAACCACTATAGCCAATAACCCAGTGCTGTCTAGACACAAATAGAACATACAAACATATTATCCTTTGAGCCCAACAAAGTCACTGATATTTTCCCTGATTTAAGTGATTTTAATAAAAAACTTGAAACACAATTTTTAAAGGGTAATGGGGATCCCTGAGCACAAAAATCAGAGACTAACCTATATTCTGTACTGAGCTGTTCCTGGTGATGGCCGTAGCGAGCTGGCTGGCTCCATCATGGCCGATCTGATTGTTCCTCAGGTCTAGGACTTCCAGACTGCTGTTTGCTGACACCCCTTCAGCCAGGCTGGTGAATCTTGCGCCCTCTATGCCTAAAGCGTTCCATTCCAGACAGATCCTGAGTCAAAGAAAAGGACAATGTTCAGAGGAAGGATAGATAACTACAGTCACATCTTTCAAGAAAGAGTGCTGGATTTAACAAAGAACTGCAGATTTTAAAACAGTTTGAAAAATACAGTACAGGTAGTCATTAAAGGTATAGACCAGTTCTGGTCATGTGATGGCATTGTGAAAGAATTATCAATGAAATATTGAGTTCTTAGAACAAGAGTTATAGCTCAGATTCACTCATCAACATTGTGATAGGACTTCAGAAGGGGTGTCAGAGTGAGTTTCATCATGGCATTGATAAGAAATTAGTCTTTAAAAAAAGATTATTTGTCAAAGCTATTACTTAAAGTAGCACATCTTTATTTAAAAAAATAGCATTAAAGGTATAGACCAGTTCTGGGCATGCGATTGCATTGTGAAAGAAACGTGGAATCAATCAGAAAAGGTTGATCATCTAGCATATAAGTATTGGTGTGTACTGCAAGATTCTGGAATCATCAAAATGATAAGAAATTTGGCCCAGTCTTGGTAAAGTTACAAGCACTGTACACAAAAAGATGTATATGGGACTACGCGATATCTATCCAGTCCAGATAGATATAATAATTTACCAAATATATCAAATATATCAATTAGTAGGCGGTTTCCTGGCAAAATTTCTACCATCACGTATTAGTCAAAACATATTATTTCACATGATTGGTAATAAGAGCTTCCAATTCATTTTTTGAGAGGGGAAGGGGGGGGGGGCGTTTCCAAAACTGGTCGATACCTTGTTGAACACTGTGCCTGAAAAAAAAACCATAAGAGAAAACTTGGCAAAATGGTACCAAATGGACGTCAATAAACTCACTTGAACTCACTAGAAACACCTTTATGTATCTGACGACTTTAATATATCCTTCCTTGTTTGTACACATAACTCACCTTTTGATTGAATGGTTCTGTCTGAATAGTTTTCCCATGGCCTCAGCACTAGCCCCTCTCATGTTGTTCCCTTTGAGGTCCAAGGCTCTGATAGAGGTATTTGAACATAACCCATGGAGCAGGTGTTTGGCACCTACAAAAGATATATAGATCAGGGAAGTGTTTCACAAAACTTGATATCAATAACAAATGACAAAAATCAGTGACAAATCTGCTGATAACCAATCAGAAGCAAGCATTTCAGTAGCTTATAACAAAACTGTCATTTGTCACTGATGACAAGTTTTGTGAAATGGGGCCCAGATTGTATTCACACGTGTTAACAGGTTTTGGAATGTTTCACGAGGTAAATAAAAATTCTTGTTTAGTCCAGTGTTGGTAAACTCATCGGATATCCCATTTCTTGGCAAACTTTCGTAGTACATGTAGGTGCACGTAAACTGAATATAAAACTAACTGTATATGAACTACCATAGAAATGGAGTGTATTTTTCATTTAGATAAGGAATTAATCTTTCAATAATTTTCTAATAATTCTTTCATTTTGTGAGCAAGACTTTGGATGGAAAAAAACATAATAATAATAATAATAGGCATTTCTATAGCGCGTTCTATCTAGAATTCTTTTCAGAGGCGCATATACATGTATTATTACTTCGGCTTTAGCCTAGCTACCATTACAGTGGTCCAGCATTTCAAGGAATTAATTCCTGCCAGGTACCCATTTACCTCACCTAGGTTGAGTGTGGCAAATGAAGTTTAATGCCTTCAAATAAATACCTTCATCTCCAATCATGCAATCCGACAACAAGAGCTCCTGGATGATATGATTGGTTGCCAGAGCCCTTCCTAGCACCGAGCATGTCTGCACGGTCAGTGAGGTCGTGGACAGGTCAAGGGTGGTAAGGGAAGACCTGGACCTGGACCTACTTCTGGACCCACTCCTATGGAGAGAGGACTTGGGGTCCGCATCCATCAGCTGATCTAGGACACTCTGCTGCGGGGTGATCCCATTCTCCCGGCACACCTGGAGGTAGACAACCTTGAAGGAATCCATGTTGCCTACCCGATGTCAACCTTTGACCTGCATTATAAGAAAAGAACAGATTATAATCTCGTACTAACAAGGCAATATTTTTTGCCGCTGTCAAAGGCGATCTAAATATTGGAAATTTAAAGTTGGTAACTGAAGGCACCCACTAACAGTGCCAGGTGGAAGTGAATGGGGAAGTGGCAATCTAAGTTCATAGCATTTTACGAGGGTTTGCAATCTCTAGTTTTACTTTTAGTTGGGCACATTTATACAGAAAAATCTGTTTTATGTTTTCCAGTCTTACCCCTAACCATCCTATGTTTAATGTAAGTGAAAAATAACATGTAAGTGAAAAATAACATGCGAGTGTAAAAAGAGAAACATCAGGCCCATTACCGATAAAACTTTCTTTATATTTAGCCTAGAAAAAAACAGAAAACAAAATAGACATTTTTTTCAGGCAAATCTACTAAGATTTCTGGAGTGTAAAAAAAAGGCCCCTACTACCTGTAATACAAAATATGATTTTCTGAAAATTCAATTTTCTAAGTTTCTTTGAGGTGTTGACCTGCAATTTGCAGCACAAATTTTCTTCACTGCTTCAAAATCACCCATGATTTTTTTTTTTGCAGCGAATTTGATACGAGGTCTGCGAGTGCTCCCATTCCTTGCAGGTTGAAAGTTAGATCATACATGTAGATTGCATCTTCTATCATCTCTTACACTGTATGTTATTGTTTGTTGTTATCATTCTGTCATTTTTTCTTTCTATCTGTCCTCATGTTATTCTTTGCTTCTTCCTTCTATCACCTTTTCTTATGTAATCCTTTGTTTTTATAGATCAATCATTTTCTTCCTACCTTTCCTTATCCTGTTCTATGTTATTCCTTCAATCACCTTCTGTTATGTTATTCATTGTTTTTATTATTCTATTATTTTCTCTCCCTATCTTTCCTTACGCTTTCTTGTTTCTTTCTTCTTGCATGGGCATGGGTTGCCTGTGAGGTCGCTCCAATTGATTTGTCAAGTTTTGTGTGTATGCGTTGACTACCGTGATCAATCATGATACCAGTTTTATTGTGAATTATCATGGAACTTACTAGACCATTTATGTTGAAATCTGGTGTTGAATTGTAGTGTATTTTATGACTTCAAAAGTTCAAATTGTTGCTGATAGATGCTGCAAATGCTGGTGTGATATAGCAGCCATACTATTGTAATACCAGATTTGTGTTTAAATTAATGTTATGCAGGGAGGTCAGTACAGAGAGGCATAGTAAGGCAAAACATAGGCAGACCTGCCAACCTCTGGAGTTCAAAAACTGTATTCGTTAATCCCAAAAGTTGTATTTTACTGACAAAAGTTGTATTCTTAAATATAAACACGGACTGTTACGCGGTTCAATGCAGGAAGAATTTTTTTTAAAGGATCGTTGGTTGAATATGCATGATTTCATCACGACTGGTGTGTTCGATGAACCAATGAACATCCCTAAAGCCCCAATGTGAGATGCTTGTAGGATACTTTATAGGACAGAATGGGCATTTTGCCATTGGAAATGGTACACACACACTCACAAAATACCACCAAGAAAAAATATCCAAAAAATAAATAAAATAAATTAAAAAAAAAAAAAAAAAAAAAAATCTTTTTTTTTTGTTTTTGGAAAATCGTATTTTATTGAGGAAAATCGTACTGTCGTATTTGCTTCTAAAAATCGTACTGAATACGACTAAATCGTACTGGTTGGCAGGTCTGCATAGGTTGTAACTTGTAAACAGTCAAATATTAAAGAGTAAGCGATGTATAAAAATCCCCTAGAATCCCTAAAACAGTAGCGTGCATGCATGTAATGTAGCACATGTACTAAAACCAGGGAGAGTGTTCCCTGCTAAAACAATCAAATCCTTTCTTTACACAGACCTTTTCCTTCTGTGTCCTTCAACTAGCATCTGGTCCAAGTCATTCAGACTCTGTATGCGTAGCTTCTCCAAATCGGGATCATTATACCTAGTACTATATTTACAAGGGATGCTCTAAAAGCCAACAGTTGTTTACGTATATAATACAACTTTAATCCACAGGAGATGTATGCCTATGAAATATCAATTGACCAACATTACTCTCACTCAGTACCCACTCAGGCAAGGTAATAAACAAGTCTTCAGAGAATGTACTAAGACTTCACTGTATGTAGCAAATCACAAGTGTCCTACAATGAAAGGTCATCCGAGTCTGACTGAGAAAGCGCATTTAAATGATATTCATCATCATGATCATGTGAATAAAGTTTTAAGAAGTGAAATGCATTTACCTAGCAATACACAGGTATATATACATCACTCTAGATTGAGAATGAGAATGTCAGAATAGTGAGAATATTTTTCTCTTACCTATAAAAGGAGCCATTACCAGTACATGTCTTCCCCTCACAATGTTCAGGAGCAAAAAGAGAATGACCACATGGTTGTAATGTCCCAAGCAGACTTTCAGGGGATACCATTCCAAGGAGAGGGTGCAGAGAAAGGAGGGTGGAGGATAAAGAGGCCTATAGAGTTATGCTCAGAGAGGGGGGGGGGGGGGCAACAATGGCCATACTAGTTTCACTTTATGGGTGTTACTTTGAACTGTTAATCTGATTACCTGCTTTATTGACTTGAAGTTTACTTAATCCTATTCACTCTTCATCTTGGTCAAACCAGTTTCTGGATTGACAATGGCCTACTTAAAAAAAATTATCTTGTATTGTGCTCTCCATCCTTTTGTGCTCATCTCTCTTTGTGATTGGCACCATTCTTCATGTCCACTCTCTACACAGCATACCAATTAATGGTTCTGTGTCAAACTACACATACACCCTGTACATGTATGAGCAGCTAATCCCTCCTGGCCAAACTAGTTGGGGCTTTAAGAGATGGTGGATTAATGGCTTTGGGTCAATGGATCACAGGACACAAATGGGAAGAAATCTACCAAACAAAAGATTCATCTGGAAAATGTCTCTAATCTTTAATCCAAAGTAGGCAAAAGGCCTTCAAGAAAAGTAACGAAGCATTATGGCTTGTTCTCAGAAATAAAGTTATTCATTCCCTATCTGAAGCACTCATGTCAGTAATCTAAAACCTGAAAACCAATCAGCATGGTACAATCAAAATACAAAATACTAGGATTACTGACCCAGTTACTATAGATATCCCTGGTACTGATCCAAAACGACTTAAAGTAGCAGCGAATGCAATTAACAACCATTTTGTGTCAATAGCATCTGGCCTTCCATCTCTTGACAGAGAAACATTACCTGCTTTTTTTCACCATGTCCATGTTCATGTCCTCAGGCTCAAGTTTATGAGGTGCATTCAAAATTAAGAAAATTATATAAACTGGTAAAGCTGGATTAACCAATGACTTGCCTCTTCAGATTTTAAAAAAATTTGCATATGATTTGTGTATACCTTTAACAGATCTGATTAATCATCCTTTCAACAAGGGATAGTTACAATAGTACCAAGACAGTGAAAGCAAGATTGGATAACCCCTAATCCAAAATCATTATCAGCAACCAGCAATAATCTCCTACCAATTGCACTAACGAGTCAGTTTGCAAAAAATGCTGAATCTTTCATAGCTAAATGGCTCTTTAAGGATATCGTCGACAAAATTGATGCCCACAATTTGGAAACCGCCCTGGTTTATCGACCACTCACTTGGTTATTTTACTCTACAATTTGTTATGAAAATGGTGAAAAGAGCAAGAGTTTATCCACTGTTTTGTGTACTGACTCCAGCAAAGCTTTCGAAAGGCTGCATCATAACATTCTTATTAGAAGATTGATCAAACTCAATGAACGGCCATGCATCATTGAATAAATTGTTAGTTTTTTGGAACAAGTCCAAAAAGAGTATGTACAATCATGTTGGGTCCACGATACATAAATTATACCAATGCTTGCCAAATATGTAACCTTTTAATGCTTGAATTAGATGCAGAAGAGAAAAGCTTTGTCTGGATTTTGCTACATCCTTAGCTAAACACCCAACATGTACCTGGTTACCTCCTCCGAAAAACATACCCATCTCCTACACCATGCTTCTAGATATCAACAATTCAAGTGCAAAACCAATCGTTTCTAAAATAGCCCCCTGCCTTACATGTACTTTGTTGATCATCTCAATAAAGCCATACCAATTAATCAAAATAGATGAATTAATATATATATCTTATTTGTATTATATTCTTTTAATAAATGTTGCAGTTTCCTCTCCATAAGATAATAACAAACCAAAATAACAAAATGCTGTTCCCTTTCCCTTCAAAAGCCACTTTATATCTGAAGGAAAATGAATGATAGAATGCCATAATTGGAGTTTTTTATATCATTTTTCTAAGCAATAATACAAATACTTGCAATATCAAACGTCATCAATGTTATGAAAAGAATATTTTCATTTCTATTTTCATATTCATATATTTTCTTAATGACTCTTTAAAGGTACTACATGTACATGTATGTCCCATTTGCAGGCCAAAAAAATGAAAAGGTTAAATTCCAACGGCATTTGAAACAGCGCTCAAAATACACGGGGGCGGTGGGCGATTCGCCCCCGTGAGCTACAAAATCGCCCCCGTCAGGTTGCTCACGGGGGCGATTGCAAAATTAAAAATCGCCCCGGTGGAATTATAAAATAAAGATAATCTTTTCTGTTATAACTTTAACACAATATTGAGTATCAATTTTCAAACCTTAAACCAATGAAATGGAACTAAGATTAGCGTGCAAGATTTCTTGTTTTATGAGTAGGCCTATTATTACCGATTCAGCTCGCAGTGCAGTGCCGCCGTCAGCAGTGGTTATATAGGCCTACTGCGCCGTTAGTAGCGGTGCGTGTGCACGCTGCCGCGCCATGTCTGCTGGAGCTGGAGGCGATCGGGCAAGGGCAGAAACATGGTCGTGGCCTGGAGAAGTTTTTCGTTGTCAGCAAATAATGAACCTCGACCAGTAAATCAATATTAGGGACTTTTAGATTTGCACGATGAGAACGTGGACTGCAA